TTTGTTAAAATTTTATTGATTGTCCACAGCAAATAACGGAATTGAAGTTTTAAATGCTTGTCATGCTGTTTCTTGTTTATGACCACTGCTGATGAATAAAATTCAAGCGAGTCAATGAATTCAATTGGATATAATTGAACATTAAAAAACCTAGTTAGCATCATGAAAGATGGTCGAATGGAACAATGAGAAAAACGGTTTGAAGCAATAAAATTTCATTGGGAAACATTGTTCTATGAATTTTCACGACTGCAATCGAGTAAAAACTACTTGAATGCTCGCAAACACCACAATGTGCTCGAATTGAATACAAATTTGATTGCGTACATCCATCAACAACATCAATGCAGAAAACATGCTAGTCGTTAAAAGCACTTCAATGTGTAAAATTCAGTCAGTCGCTCAACTCTACACTTATACTCTCGAAAAACTGAAGTAAATACATGTTTTTAATAGATCTTTTGAAAGCACCTCATGTACCATTCCAGAAAACAGTAAGTATTGGTTGACTGGCAGTATCGAATGAAATTCAACTTCTCGCAATGGATAAGTGTGCATTTCTATCAATACTTGCTGATGTTGCTGCGCCTATACTTCATCTTCTTTTGAATGAATGAAAGGTTCACTTTCCTTCTTCCATTTTCGCGGTGCTGTTGATTTCTTATTATCATTAGCAATTAACTAGGCAGCTGAAAGGCAGCAGCCATACAGTTATTTATTTGTTCGTAAGATGGACGTGATGACTGCAAAAAAGATGACTACACTGTTCATTCATTCACTCCCAAGTGCTTCAGCTGATATGTTTAAATTGTAAAATAGTTATAAATCTTCGTTACTGATCATTAGCACACTTTGCTTCAAAATATTCAACCATATATTAGGCAACAGTCATATGCATGATTTATTGCGACTTGACAAGCAGTCATGCATAAATTTAATGCAAAGGTCCGCTGGGAATATCACGAATGTTGTTTCACAAAATGCGCATCTTAAAAGCAGGACACAGAGCATTGATAAAGCAGCTGGCATTCGAAAGATGTAGTTTTCAAAAGGAATGGCCCAACTTGAAGGGTTAGAAATTGATTGCACATGAATTCATTCGTTTGAGCATTTATTCTGAGCCATCCACTCTCTTCAGATAAAAGAGCACATTGCACGTTTGCAGTGATCATCTGATGCTGCATAAGTATTTTTCTATGCATCTAACTCACTGTTTCATAGCTAGCACTCCGTTCAAATTATTTTTGCACAATTACCTAACATTTATCTTGCGGTGAAAAACGAATGCAGCACAATTCAAATTTCACAACGAGACCTTAACATTCTTAGTGCGCACGGAGGGTGCTACACGAAAAAAAGTTGGACAGCATTGATCTAATTAATATGTACAGTATACGTCTATCTATTTGATGTTGTATTGACATCATAAAACCCTGAAGTGATACTCAAAAATCAAATAATAATAATAATATCAAACACTGATACAAGAGGAGATCACATCAAATAAACCCATGATATAAAATGTGTCTTTTGAAATCAGTCTCAACTCATAATCCATCTTTTCAATGTTACACGACGAGTCTCATTATGAATTAGCCAGTCAGTAAAAAGGCATTAATTAGTTAAGTGCAAAATATGAATGAAACTGCAATTAATTATACTCATAAATTTCAAAATATACATTTGTCGTATTCACTTCATTCAGGCTCAAATATTACATGAGAATAACATTCGCGTCATCGGAAAAATGACTGAAATAAATGTTCAACGAATGCTTGTTCACAAGTCAGATAAAGATATGTGTTTTCAAAAATGAATTACAGCAATAACAATAACAACTACAAAAAGCAAACCAACCTCAGTATTGCCGGTGATCGATGCGATATAGACATTTAAAGGCATTATTATTATTAATACTCTTTAAGTTATTAGTATCACGCTGCTTGTTTGTTGCACATAGAAGAATTGAATTGCGAACTGGATGTCCAAGAAGAAATAAAGTAAAAATTGGTAGAGCGGTGATTATGATGAATAAATGAAATGAATACTGTTTATCCGGACTAACGAATGCAACGGATAGATGGACGGACGGAAATTTTGGATGGAAATTTTATTACGGAAATAAACGATTGAACGGGACGATAAAAAGACGACGGCAGAAGTGAGTGAATATGAATGAATGAGGCCGGCTGAATGGAAGATGAAGCAATAAGGGTAGGAAATCAAAGAATATCTGTAATTGCTTGGTTGTTGGATTACGGGATGGATAGATAGCCAACACAAAAATATCTGCTGCGGCTAGTGCTGGATTGATTGAATTAATGAATGCAAGGATTATGGATTGATTGGTGGTTAGAAGAACGATGGGTGATATCCACTGGTGTCTGCGTAGTGCTGCTTGAGGAATGAATGAAGTTCTGGCACAATTAGCAGACAGCCAAGCAGACAAGCGACAGCAGTTCCTGCTGAAGAAGAAAAAGAAGAAGAAAGGGCGTTAAGTTATGCAGTGGTGTGTGTGCTTGCTTGGTTTGCCTCCTCTCTAAACAACTTCAATGCCAACAGTTTCAGCAACGCATAGCATCACATATAAAACACAAACGATGATATAGCCCGAAATGCAGCTCAAAGATATTATAATGGATGTACACAAAGTCGTCGATTCACCAACATCGTTAACTATCCCACCTCTCCTCGTGAACTCTTTCTATGCGCTTCAGCATATTTACTCAATACGTTATTCTCTATCCAGTGGTGGGCATTAAAGTGCTGGGATATGTGATGAAAAATTAAGTTGATTTGATTATGATGGATATTGTGATGTGATCGATAAAAGATTAACGCATATACGCACCATTATCCAATAGTTTAAGTAATAATGTTCGTAGGGTAACGGGTCCGAGATCATCTGGGCTTACCAACAGTGGCGAGCAAGCGTACAAAAAGTTTGTTTACGTAGATGAAACATTTTAAATCCTGAATCGAAGGGCCAGTCCCTAATCGTCATATCGAATTTGCATCCGAAGGTTGAAGATCACGATCCCAATAGATTGTTTCGCATTGGTCAAGCAAATTCTTGTTTTTGCACTATTTCGGCACTTCAATCGCTCACAACAGCAATGTTTTTCATAGTGACTGCTCCTTTTAAGTTACAATTTGGAAGACTACATGAGCATTTTTTCCTGAAAATTCCTCAGTTTTTAGAGAATTTTCATTCGAGGGGATCTTGTGACACCTAAACCCATTCGTGTAGGAATGCTTGCTGATGTGTTTCATTGCAGTAGAGGATCGAAAGCCGGGAGAATGATGTTCGCAAATGATCAGTTAAAAGTGAACCTGTCGTTAAACTTTATTTTGTATCGCCGAATAATTTTTTTCCATTGTTTTTCGTTTTTGATTGCTGGGGTTCATATTGTTTCTGCAATGGATAAATGAATTTCTAAAAATGCTTGTTTCATTCCAGAAAATTAATTTCTTTCGCGCCACTAAGGAATTTCCGGACCGATTTTCTGTTTGTTCCTGACGTTATACGTAGAAATATTAAGTTCTTGTATAAATGCAAATGATGTCATAAAATGCAAATGATGCGCGGGAATCGTAAATTCTTACATTAAAGCTAGAGGTAATGACGGTCTGCCGAATCATCGAAGACTGCAGAGGAGCTCCCGAGCAAGAGAACCACTGTCCTAGAGGCTATTCATCAATACAATCGTCCACTTCCATGGAGATTCGTGATTCACAACTGAGACTCTTTGTCAAGGCTCCTTCTCATGAAGTTTGCCCTCATTTCCACTATAAAATACCGCTACAAACTAAACACGACGATCCCGAAGTGACTCTGCCACGAACTAACTGTTCGTTCAGCTCACGTTCTTATTCCCGATTTTTTTCATTATAGTCAAATTAATTTTACTTGTGTACATTATTTAGGTGGATGGTACTTAATTTGCGTGAAATTAGCGAATTTAGCATGTTAATGAGGTAAAACTGAACTCTCCCTCAAAGCTCCCTCTCATCAGAGCCATATTTGTGCTTTCTTGTCACTTTTGTGTACTTTTTAAATAGGAGACATGTGATATGATTAGATATCATAGATTTCGCATTCAAAAAGTTGATTGTCCAATGACATTTCTCATTCAATGATATGATGATTTAATTAAGTCATTTTCTTTACGTCTTTAATGAAAGATCCTTGAGAATGTTGCGTTTTTTAATCAGAAATTGGTATAACGAGATGGTTGAAGTATTTTCGTTCCTCTTCGTTGTTGATATATTCATTGGCCAGTCGAATGCGTTTTTGGAATGTAATCTGATGGCTTGTTACTTCCAATTGTTATGTTTGTTTTAGTTGCTCAATGGTCAGAATTAACATGGTGGTCGGCTCGATCCGAAAGATGAACGAGGTCACCAAATTTTCGCAACAAAGAATGGCAGCGCATGTTTTCCGCAGAGGCTAGTTGTTTTACCACTTCATCTTTTTTCTTGTTGTATTACTTTTTGCTTAGTCCTTAGTTTTGCAAAATGAGCGGAAATGGTCACTGAATGGTTTCTTACACACTGATCCATCCATTCGTAGTTGGATCAGAGGCACAGGCACTGCATTTCCTAGCCCCCTTGTAGGTGTTCGGGTGCAGTGCGGCCGGGAGAATGGGCTGATAACCCAAGGAGCAATCCTATCCCGGTACCGGGTGAACCCGGCATTCGTACCGTCAAACTTCCATGTTTTCATGGACAGCGGCGGGGGACCTCGGGTGTTATAGAAGTGTGGTATCTGTGTCTCTGGCCAATCAAGCAACTAATCAAGAGAATAAGAATCATTTTCTGACCATTTTCTTCGTTTTCATATACTCAGTAGTAATCAGTTTATGATATTCATAGGTTATATTCACTTCAAAAATTGGAATCTTTGTATTATTTGACGTATGTTATTTGAATGTAAGCATATGGATGCATTAAAATTACTGATATTAGCAATTTTCACTATTCAATTTGATTCGATCGGGAACGTGGATGAGGATTCAACAGCAGAATGGTCGTATAGAACATTTCGTGGAGAAGTTACAGCAATTATTTCATCGGTGGAAGGTAATAAATTGACAGATGTTTCGTATGTATTTATGAATTAAAAATCTTCCTATCCTTGGTTTATGAGTTGTTCATTCCGCCTTTGCTTTATTTTTTTCAGAGGGGAATGTTTTTTACGCAATACGTTCTTACACACACCAGGGTGTGAGATTCCGTAGCAGCTCTCTTTAGAGCTATTGAAACTTAACGGCCCCCTTTAGCGACAATGTAACCCAACGGCTCTCCTTAGAGCCATCGAGTTAATAAACCAAACTTCAGTCATTTCTCCATCAACCAATCGGTTCTTTCTCGAGTCACTGTAACTGATAAGCCGCAGCATGCCCTTGCTTCGTAAAGGTAGGATGTTTAAAAACTTTTAATTTCTTATGGATTTCGTCAAGTTTTATCGAAATCTGCATGATCTTTTTCATTTGCTTTGCTGTACCTCTTTTCATACTTAATTTTTCTTTTAAGTATATATTCTGTAATGAGTCCATACTTCCCTTATCATACTTCATTCGTTTTTTGTTTCGAACGCAACAACAGATTAGTAATCCAGCTTGGTGATTTTGGGTATTTGCATATGTTTCGTTAGGTTCATTTCGAACGAAACGTATTGATTTGATTATTAAAAATGTTTTTATTGTTCTATCTGATGATAATCGATTTATTACTCCAGAGCGACGATAAAGCATGAAGCACGTTGCATTGATCGATGTCTTGACTTCGCGATGGTGAAGAATCGATGTCCTGATTTCTTTTTTGGTTAATGCTGTAACGTTTTGTGATGTGATGTTAGTGTGATATGTTGTATGCTGCGAGGTGATATGTGTTGTATGTCGTGATGTTTTTTTATATCTCCATCTTTGATGTGAATTATGTAGAAAGCTTAAAAGTTTTGGGAGGGGGGTGTTGCTATTTTTTCGTTTATTTTATTGTTGTTTTTCGTTTGTTTTCATTATTGTTTTTCGTTTGTTTTCACTGTTGTTCTTCGTTTTTGAAAGAGCTCTAAAGGGACCACTTCGTGTGGTTAGTAGAGCTCTTTCAGTCGGTACTACCCGGCTAGTGAATGACTGTAGCATATGTTAGGTTATGTACTGTTACGAACGGATGAATCCAAAATTATCTTTCGGATGATGCAATTTGAGTTACCAATAACGGTGAGGTGTTCACTAGCTAGGCGGTACTCGATTCAACCTGACTTCCAGTTAGAACCAGAGGCTGTCGGTATTTTTGTGAGATTTGGAGAGGTTTACTCTTGCTCATGGGGTGACAGCCATCGCTCTGGTGCTTTGGGTAGTGGGTGGCTTGCCAGCTCAGTCTAGTCGGGGTTGACAAGACGTCTTCTAACCGAAGATACGTCCCAACTGGAAGTCAGGCTTTCCTTTTGAGGGTCTCTGGTCGCGAAACGGCACTTCGGCACCCGTCTAGTGACCAGTGGGCCCTCTGCCAAAAATAGTGGTGGTGGGTGTGTGTTGATTATTTAAAAAATTTTTAAATTCCCGCTTCTGGAAGGAAGCCAGTTGTAGAGCGCAGTGCGAGGTTGACAATTTTGAAGTCAAGCCAAATTGGCATTGTGTGTTCCTTTTATTCATTTATTTTAAGATTTTCATCCATTTTTGTGTACTCTATATAGCACACGAGGTGTGGGGTTTTGATTCTCAATATAGTGGAATGAGAGTTCTACATCGTATTATTGTCATTTGTTATTCGAATAATCTTCTTAAGTGCTGCTGATACTATCTATTATATATAATTGTTGTCATAAACCAGTAGCGCTGTTTGAATAATAGATGAGTTTATGTAAAACAGAATAGCTTCACCCAATATGTTACTCCTACTTGCTGCTTTTAACGTTGTTGTGATCATTACGTTCGTTTGAATATGTAAGTAGGTATGCTTTTGTTGGAATGCAAATCGAATACGTTTTTGATGTCCTGCACAACATCCCAAATAAACATTTCGTATCCATTGTTTTGCTTCATTCCACCAAACAGAAGTATCTGAAGAAATCATTTAGGTTTCAACAGCCTACTTATACTGCAAGAAATCCTTGCAGTACAAGCTAGGCTATCTCAATTTAAAAAAAAGCTTATATTGCAGACCATTATTTTTTCGGTCACGAAGCATTTTTAAACTATTCACAACATTTACACATTACTTTCGAATCTTTGATAATCAATTTTATTATTAATATTACCATGATTAAAACAGCAAAATATATTGATTTACAATTGAACACTTCCACATTTATAAATACAGCTGTATAGATACATCAGTGAATAGAAGTAACGGACAAACTCTATTACAACTGTCAACAATATCCATAAACCACTAATTACAATAACAACTTTAAACTGCTTAATCGATCGGATTATTCCACAGTGCAAAATTTTTGCCAGTTCCACTATTCTCTTTGATCAGTCGTGCGTGTTGCCACGCAGGTAATTTCTTTTTGTTCTCAGAATAATTCATATCTGGATACTTGGGTTGTTGTGGCCGTTGTGCAATCCTGCTCATACGTAAACGTCGTTTCAGCAACTCGGATTCCACTTCAGTGGGATCACGAAATTGATCCAAATACCTGAAAAGAATAAACTGAACGAATGTGCAACGATAAAATGACAAAGGAACATCACAACAACTCACTGTTTTCTCAGATCTGTTTAATCAATCGCTGTGCAATAATGAGAACACTTTATGAATTCACTTACAAATCGAACGGTTGTGCTTTATTGGGAAATTCTTTCTGCATCATTTTCAGCGGTGGTCGGTACTCGTATTCATATATAGGCGCTTTCATACCTTAAATCTTTCCAATAGAAATACACAAAACACTTCAGTTAGAATAAACTTTCTTGTTGATGTTTGGAAATTACGAAAATGCGTACGGATAACTCTCGAGAGCAACCCAAGGAACTAGCCGAAATGAAATTTACTTGTTCATTTGATAGAAGAACTGAAGTTCGAAGTTATTATAACAATTCAATCAGCCAAACCTAAGGAGTGAAACAATTTATTGACTGAAAGATCCCACAAAACTTGTGAGAAAGCGATTGAAGACGGTGTCAATGAAGTTTCGTTCTTTTTGTAGAAGTGTTGCATACTGAATGTTCTAGCACTTAAGTCATCACTGAAATGATGTTTAAACTTCTGCAAAATGAATCATGGCATATTAACAGCTGTCAATTAAAAACAACCTGCAAAGAGATTCTTAAAATAAAAATAAGACAGGAAACGAAATGATTCAAACGAATGCAACCTTTTAAGTCGATAATCACCGAAGTCGATCGATTGCTGATGATGGAAAAGAACGAAAACGAATCGATGGAAGCCGGTTCCTTTGAATGGAACAGCTTGCAAATAAGGTACAATCTGATCAGCCGTTGAAATAGTTTCACCATCTTTAATATTTGCAACGAACCAGTGTAATAACTGTTCATTTGAATATGGATTACCATCAATATTCAATGCTAACAATGTCGTATAACCGCTACCAGTTGATTCAATCATTACGCTCGGTTCACTCACTTAAAATTACCATCGTTTAGCAACACAAGTCATCAAAAAAGAACAAAAATCAAGTTGAGTCCCACCGTCTGATTGTAAATCGCAAATGAAGAGCATCGACGCTGGTTGACAGAACGATAATAGATTAAGTGAAAACGGATACGATGAAAGTATTACGCTTACTTGTATCAGCGGCATACAGAACGTTGCCGTGATAAACTTCATTCGCTCCATACGATAGAGTCATCTGTTGTACGATGTTGAAAAAGACGGGCGCATTAAATAAATCATTGAAAATACCATAATGATGGAAAATATCCAGCGAACGATGATCTAATTGCTTTATATCAATCTGCACTGCAAAAAAAAACATTCGTTTAAAATTGGCAATAGATGCTTGCTTAATTTTCCACTACGAATAGGCAAAAACGATTTCAAAAACCGTTTCACCAAAATGAATTCATAAAACTAACGTTTCAAATTCCTTGCTAACTTTTCCAAATCTTCTTTAGGTAAAACTTGCTTCAAATCATCTTTCTGTCGCTCTTTAAAACCAATATTGGTTTTTGGTTGCTCAACATCTGAATAACAAAAAAATGAAGCATTACATTCCACTCAACCATTACATTCCATCAACAAAACCGAAATCACATTTTTAAACTCACGATTCCAGTTTCACAAACTCAACCATTCAACGGAATTCTTACTCTCGTAACAATGCAGTAGTTTTTCTCTAGTTGCGAACAAAACTGTCTACACTTTCCCATGTTATGTAGTGATCTACTACTCCTTCTAGGGTATATTAAAGATAAATTAACTCACTTCCCAGTCGTTCCTCTAATGAGTGCAAATACTTATCTGGATCGATAATGTGTAGCTTTGGAATGATAGCCGGCTTATCGATCCTGGCCTTATACCAATGGTCCATTTCATAGAATCTGTATTGAGCGGTAAGAATTATAATTTGAAGGAGTCAAACAGCACTATAGAAGTTTCCATCATACGAAATATTGACCTGTTTTCTATCAGTGAAAAATGAAGGAAACCGAATAGATGAAATACTACTCCTATAAATATTGCACTCATTGAATCGTGGAGAAATTTCGATCGTTTGTTCTCATCTCCAATATTTCGAGGAATAAACTATGCAAGTGCTTAAATCGAAAACCTTTAAATACCACGCATAAAACATACCTGTTTCGATTGAAAGCAGTAGGACCTGCCCACGCTAAAACACGAGGACGCCAGGGTCGATCTAATCGAGGGACATATCGAGATCGATGTGAGCCCTTCACATAGAGATCCGCATAAATTGAGCGGAATTTTGAACGCATTCTGTAGCATAAAAATTATACGCACAATTTGTGCATTAAATGAGTATTTGAACGACAATACAACAAGTTTTGGTGAAGGTGCGTACGCACTTCGCCATATGCGCGTGTCGGCGGAAGGAGGGCGGAGTCACGCGCGAGGAGAGATATGCAGGGAACAACCATTAGAGCAAGTGAGAGCAATTGAGATGAAAAAAGTACCGGAAAAGAAATTTCATCGGTCAATGCCAAGTAATCCATTTAAAAGATAATATGATGCTGATCGAATATGAAACTGATCCCGCTCTCCCTATCAAAATTGAAAAAAAAATCGCCCGCTGCATTCTTTTTTATCGCGGTCATTATCACCAGTAAGTTTTGATCATCACCATCATCATTAGTTTCTATGCATTGATAAATTATTCTTCAATAGATCATCACATTCAGCTGGTGGGAATTTTGAAATATTTGGTTTGGCGAAACCGAATTTAAATATTCCCGAAGCGGGAATACGCCCAAAGCGAAATGTATAAAAGGGTTCTGTTTCATAGCATAATTTAATTCCAGTTCGATGAAATCGGTGAGTATTGCTGCTCGTTCAATTCGGTTAATATGGTTGATAATAAAGTGGTTAATATGG